AGTAGTTTCCCATTTCAGACAATGGGATGGTATTAAAACCTACTATAGCTAAAGCATTAACAAGATGAATTTCAATATATTGAATATAGTTATTCAAACTGGAATCAAGCAGGACACTGGAGATACCAACCTAGTCTTGCCGGAAGTGTTAAGGTATCTTTAATGCACAAGAGAAGGACTACTTGTGGTTTTATACCTCTTGATAAAGACAGCATCACCTCATGCATCATGCTCAATCTTGACATCGCACCAAAGAAACAAACCAAAACCCATGTTAGTCTATCCCCTTCCTTTAGTCAGTGGTTGCACCCACAATATTCAGTTTCCAGAAACTTGTTTTGGTTCTTTTTAAAAACGATTTGAAATGAACTGCTGTGGGTTTTGCCCTTGAAAATTTATCCTGTACCTGTAACTATTGCATTTAAAGAAAATTCTACCTTACTAACCAATTTCAGAACTGAGTCTGGAGTCTGCCGGTAGCATTTGAGGAGGATATTGAGTGTTTTTTTCAAAAGCACGCAACATTGTTCTAACTCTGCTCCCACTTATATTAGAGCAGTTGGGGCCAACACTGAGCTTTTTTAGAAGCTCCAGTCATGGAGAACACATCTGGAGATATGCAATTACAAGGGGCTGCAAACCTGGGAGAATATTCATAGGTCTCAGGTAGGTGTATTTACAGCACCTAATTTTCTACAGTTTCTATAGGGAAGAGTAAAATTGAGCTCTTTTTTTTTCTTGGCCATTGTGTACCAGATCCTGCAAACACTTATGCATGTAAATATCTTTATGCTCTTGACCAGCCCCATTGAAATCAATGGTATGGTTCACCTGTGTAAACATTTACAAGATTGGGGACAAAATGTGGACCTGGAAAATTGAGCTCTAGGCCTGGAATGGAAAACTAGTGGTGTAAAGAAAAGGCCATGTATCTGGAACAGTAGAATGGACAGTATGCCTATTTCCCGATTTGCACAAAATGTGTAGGTTTGTATTTCTTTAACTGTTATTGGTACTCAGGACTGAGTTTTTAACTCAATGTTGACTGCTCAGAGCATAAGGGCGAGGGGTGAGCTAGAGGCTTCAGTTGTTTACTTAAGCAATAGTGATCTGTTCCTAGGAATAGGGGAAAGGATCAAAACTGGAAAACAGGTGTTCTTGCAGATACAAAAGAAGAAGGAGACGTGGCAAAGAAAGCCAGGCACTCAAGAGCAAAATACTTCTGGTATTGATAAACTGTATGTATCAAGTGTCAAACACACCTCTACCCCTAATATAACATGAATTTGGATATAAAGCGGTAAAGCATTGCTCCGGGGGGGGAAGGGGGCGGGGCTGCGCGCTCTGGCGGATCAAAGCAAGTTCGATATAACGCGGTTTCACCTATAACATTTTTTTGGCTCCCGAGGACAGCGTTATATCGAGGTAGAGGTGTATTATGAACTGCCATCCCAAACTATGCAAAGTCTTACATTTATCTTTACTCACGTGAGGATTCCTATTAATTTCAGGGGGGATTGCTCATCTCAGTAAAGGTACTCAGATAGGATCAGGGCCTAAGGCTGTTATAAGTTTGTATTCCAGTGCACACATATTGCTTCGTCTAGATAAAGTATTTAAATAAGTGTTAATACCAATTCTTCGAATGGAGCTACTGATCATTATGATTTATTTGAAGTCTACATCCAAAGATCTGTTCCTACTTTTAAGATGTTTGGGAAATATTGGACCCCTGCAAAACTCCACCCCGGCTTACTATAGGTTAGTGGTAGGAGGGGGGAAGGATCCTTAGGTGAACATGAAGCGCAAGGGAATAAAGGAGGATATGATAGGGAGGTTGTTCCTCCTAATGTAGAAATTCTGCACCAAAGATTCTTCCATGGTTAAGAAAGAAAGGAAGAACAAAAGAAGAAAAACACTGGGAGTTGGCTTCCCAGCTTTGCTGCCAGACACTCGGGAGGACTAGAGGGCATGACATCACAAGAGGCTGAAAGCTGAGCTGCTGCTCTCAAAGGATAGTTAAGGCATGTTGATCCTTTTGTTCAATTCAGGGTTGGGAATATAGCTGCTCAGATTTCAACCTCTTGTGATATTATCCCACTAACTCTCCACAAAAAAACAAGACCTGATATTTCTAATGTAAAACAAGTCAAATTTGAACTATACAAATATAATTTAGAAGCAATAAAAGGCACAAGTAATCCCAGCTATCCCTTTGCAGTTCACCTTACATTAGATCCTCAGGTACAAACATCTCAGCAGCATTAGATGTTGATTCCTTTAAATTCTTGCAGACATTGGGGCTTCAGAAGAGCCAAAATGACTTTTTCACATGAAGTCACTCTCCACAGGTGGAGAAGGGAGCCTCCTACTGCCCTACCCAATCTTCTTTGCAACAGGAGTGAGCAGCAACTTGACCAGCATACAGTAGGAAGGAATGAGTCACCAGCCAGTTAAACCCTGTCTTCCCCTGCTGTCTTTAGTTCAGCAGGTGCAGGACTGATTAGGCTTTAAGGTAACATTTTTCAAGGTTCTTAATAAAGCTTCTTCCCATTTTTTGAATGTTGATTTTTGACCCTAAAAAGTTCATTTCTTTAATCAGTTCAAATTCTTAATGATACTTAGATTAGGAGTAATTACAAAGCTACCATGCAGAGTTAAATTGAACCTCATCTTCCTTCTCTTTGCAATTACTTTTTTTTTAAAGTTGTCCTACTTCCTGGATTTCTTTTCTTAAACATACATTTTATAAAAAGGTGGGGCAGGAAGAAGGGGAATATATAAGTATCTTGAATACAATTTCCCCCTATAGGCATTTATTGCATAGAAAAACATTGTCTTGGACTAAGCACTCTCCAACACGGCCCCCTCACCCACTCTAAAATGGAAAGAAAGCCTCCTTAGGAGTGACAAGAATTCCATAAAATTATTGCATAATTAATATGATGACATATGTGCTAGCACTGTATAAAATCTGGATGCACTTATGCTAATTAAACCAGTGGATTCATTGGTTATGGGGGTTGGTAATAGGATATGGAACCTTTCGCCTCTAGAAATGTGGCCCAAATGTATTACTACCTGGAAGTTGATGGCCTCTGTGCAATGAAATGATGGTCACAGGTCATTTTCTAATGGATAAATCCAGTTTGTTAAAAGCCACCATCAACACTGACAGCACTTTTCTTTTTGCTAGTCTCAGTGGAGAAGCAAAGGGCTTGACTGAGCTGGGAGTCAGAAATTATCCCCCACCCCGCCACCCCTCCAGCTCCAGGGCTAAAGACAGGAAGATTCTTGCTATCCAGGCTGTTTTGGGGTAAAATGACTTCATAGTTTGCCCGTTCTGAGCTCTTACTCATTTATAACATGGGACTTTAAAAATATGATGACATAATGTTTGATAATTGGTCAGATGTTGACCAGTACTGGTATTAAACCCTAACAGCAACATTTTGAACACCCTAGCCGAATTCTAACAACAATAACAACAAAGAATCAAAACATAATATTTTATGGCTATCTAGAGAGTTTCAATTGTTGATCTCAAAATGTTGTACAAACAGTAGGAATTATTCTCATTTTAGACAAGATAGATGAGGCACAGAGGCCCTAAGTGACTTGTCAGAGATTACATAGTCAGCCAGCTGTAGGGTCAGAAATGAAAGCCCTACCGATCAGCACTACATCCCGTTAAATTTCTTGCTGTCCTGAAAGGATTTGCTGGGACAAAGGAATAATGATGGCTCCCCCTCCTTTCCCCGACTTCTCCCATGCAGTGCAGGAATTAGCTGTACTCTGATGCTATTCTCATAGACTTTAAGGCCAGAAGGGACCATCACAGTCATCTACTCTGACCTTCCGCACTTTGCAGGCCACAGAATCTCACCCCACCCCCTCCTGTAATAGAGGAGTGACAGTGGAAGTGGGAAGACTGGCTTTCCTGGCCTCTTTTCAGAAGGACATAGAGTTACATTTTCTCAATATCCAGCTGCACCTTAACAAGGACAGGGAGCCTGTATGATAAGCTCAAGTAACATGAACAAAGCCAGCGCTAGGCATAAGCAGACTAAGCAATTTCTTGGGATCCCCAGAGCAGCTCAAGGGGGCCCCCATTCACTTTTTATTATGGGTTGCGGGTTGGAGGGGAAATATTCCTGCTTAGGGTCCTCAATGAGCTGGCACTGCACCCTCTACTTCTAAACAGCAGTGGGCTACTTGTCAAAATTCACTGAGTAACCCAGAGATTTCTATGATCTTGTAGTAAAAGGACACCCACTGCTGAGATCTCACTTTGTAAGTCAGTGAAGGGGAGGTTGTTTTTTTAAATAGAATCTATATGTGTAAAGGGTGAGCTGTGGCAGGGATGGGGGAGAGAAGGAGGGACTGCTATATCTAGAAACAGTAAAGAGGACAGGGGAGGGAAACAACCCCATTTAAGCCTTTTCCCCACAAATGCTACACTATTACTGTGCATGGACAGTGACTATTTAACAGCATAAAGTAATATTAGAGTGCACTGTTATAAAGTCATTGATCTGACCAAGTTCTTTGATAGTAGGAAGAGTTACTCAGGTAAGAGGTTTCTAAATATCCCCAGAGGTGGACAGAGTAAGTGAAATTTGTCACAATAGAACTGGGAAGTCTGGCTTTCCTGGCCTCTTTTCAGCAGGACATAGCCTTACACGCTCCAGACATAACCCCACCTGAAGGTTAATGGACCACCTACTTACAACATTCACTATTTACTCTTCTGAAGAGGAGTATACTGTTGTCCCACTTCAGTAACAGTAAATTACTTACTTAATCTAGACTAAGGTTACTCAGAAATCATAGTACATGGAATTTCAGGAGGACTGACTAACGCCTATTCAATATCACAACCATACATTAATTCTTAGAAGTTTCTAATATGTTGGGAAAGAAGTTTCAGTCTCTGCTGCCTTGATTTGTCTTTAGTCCCGCTTATGGAAAGTGATTGACTATTCATAGTTTAGTTTGGGTTTAGGTTTTCAAAATCAGTTTTATTTACCTTAGATACTATAGACAGACATTTTTCCACTCTAGTTTTCCTCATTACATCTCAGCGTCTCAGCCGATGTGTTTTGGCTAATGGTTCGCTTTGTGATAGGGCCTTTCTGAAAACTCAAGGGATGTTTGAGATTTCAGTTATTAGGAGAATCAGTAGTTCCACTTCGTGCTTGATTGCAACCAGCAGAAACTTTGGGAACCTTGAGCCTGTTTTCATAGGGATAAAGGCTAAGACCACCATCATCACCACCAATAGCCATTTACATGTTAATGAGCATTCTTGCTTTCAGTGTTGGCTGCAAACATACTAAACACAACTCTGTTCAGCATCACCAGAGTTATTCTCTCCCTAAAAGACATTTACGTGTTATCACCCAATGTCTTTGGTTGAGTTTCATTAGATTGAAACCATCAGTTACCAGAGAACCATACTAAATGCATTGTGTACCTTCCTTAGTGAGCTGAATGACAAATCTGAAGAGCTCTTCTCTACAAGAAAATTACAGATTCACCTCTTGAGCAATTCCTTGTAATTACCTAGAAGTTTGGTGGGAGGGGGGAAGGATGGAGAGAGAAATTCTATTCAAATAGACAAGAGGCAAATCCTAACACTTAGATGGGAGCAGGGGAACCCAAGCGCCTCTCACTTACAATAACCCTCTTATAACTCACTGAATGTAAGAGGGATTCGTTTACTCTTTTGCTTGACGTATCTACTAGAGGCAAACAGGACCATGATTGTTAGAGATCTACAGGTACCCCTGGAAGTTCTTGGCCTTGAATTTAGGTAAGAATACTTCAATCTCATTCCCTTTAAAAGAGGGTTCATCTTAGTGTATTAGAGCAATGAACAATCCCCTTGGTCAGAAAGCCGAGAAAGGATAGCCACCTATTTGGAAAAGCTACCGCAGAGGGGAAGGGGTCTGCCGTCTGGAGGGACATAGGTTGCCCTGGTGCTGACACTACAACATATTATAGTCTACTGCATTGTGAATGTAATTGAATATGTTCCTATCCTCTTCCTAGACTTTGGTTTATACGCGTTGTTAATTTACACAGCACGCGAGTAATTTATGGCAGTGCATTGTCTTAGTCACGCTTGTAGCGTCTTTGCACCTTCTAATTCCGACCAAGAAAATCTGCATTTATACTTCAGCTTTATTTCATTATTAAAATTCATCCCCATTTGCTTGAGCTATTTTTGATCAAGAAAGGTACCCGCCCTACCCCCTAAAATAAGCAGCAGGGCAGCGCTGGTCAGCTCCAGCCAGCAAGGGTGATATTCCAGTCCAAAGTGCAGCAGCCAGGAACAGAGACACACGGCGCTGGGATTATTTTTGTTTCCAAAATTTGGAATCCGAACGAGAGAATAGGTTCATCCCTGCCCTGGTTACAGCGGGGTCACCGCGCCCCCCGGGGAGAGAAGGCCTCCTCCTAGCGACGGGAGGCACCCGAGGCGTTTCCAAAGCAGCAGGTGTCTCCTCCTCTAGCCCACACGGAGTCACGGCTCCTTGGGTGGTGGAGGAGCGAGAGCTGGGGGACTGGCTGCAAGGGCCAGTGTCGGTCACACGGAGGCTGTACGGCAGCAAACAGCCGCAGCTATTGCCTCTCCTCGCCGGCGTGGCTGGGCGCGCTGCCCTCGAACAGCGTGGGGCTCTCGGCCAGCAGAGGGGCTCGCACCTTGCGCTTCTCCTTGAAGCGGCCGGAGCGGGAGATCTTCAGGTTCCTGCGGCTGCTGCTGCTGCCGCCGCCGGGCTTCTCGCCGAACTTGGGCTCGCTGCTGCTGAAGTTGGGCTGCTGGTTCTCCCGAGAGTCCGGGCCGGGGGGCGCCGGCGGCAGGGCGGGCTCAGCCGGGGGCGGCGGCGCTCCGGCCACCGGCCCCTCCTTGGCTTTTTTCCTGCTGCTGGTCAGCGCTTTCCACCAGGAGCCCGTGGCCGCGGTGCTGTCAGCCATCTTCTCCCGGCGCCCAGCCACCGCCGCCTGGGCAGGAGGCAGCCGCTCCCCGCTCCGGCTCGGCTCACCTGGGCTGCGACCACGTGCGAGGCAGGGAACTCCCCGGGGCGCTCGCGGCGCGGCTCCTGTGCGGGAGGAAAGGATAGCGAGTGACTGAGCTGCCAGGGCAGGAGAGCGGAGCAACCGACCAGGCTGGGCAGGACTCAGGAGGAGACGGAGAGGGCCCGAGGCCAGGCTGGCAGGCAGCCTGCCCTGCTCCGAGTCACACAGACAGGGTGTTCTCTACCCGGGGGCTGGCTCTGAGCCCGAACCTACCTGCTGACTAGATGCCAGCCGCTGCCACAGGAACTGGGCTGGGCTTGAGAGCCCTTTCCCACTCAGGTGATAGAGGCACCTGGGGCTGAACACTAACTGCAGGAATCACACTGGGGTGAGCTGCCTCAGTGAAGGGGGTTGTGGTTTTCAGAGATACTCACGATCACAGCACACAATGAAAGCGCTTATTTCCAGCGGGCCCCTTCCTGCAGTTCTTGATGGATCAAGCAACCATCACTAAGTCATTAGGAATTAGGAGCACACCAGGCCTCCAGACCGGGCCCTATTTTGCAGGGATCTTCGTATGACAGTCGGGACAGACTAGGTAGGCGAGGTAATCTCTTGTTATGGACTAACTCGTCCACCTGCCTAGTCTCTTTCATACCCTGGGATCGGCAGGGCTACAACATCGCTGCAAACAACTCCAGACTGAGGACGGACAAGTTCCCGCTATTCAGTCATAAACCCCATAAGTTCTCTATTAACGTAGCTGAATTTGCGTACCTTAGTCCGAAGTGGGGGCTTAGTGGGGACCAGGCCACAGTGTCGCAAACCGCCACCAATTCCCCGATGTAAAAGATAGGGTTGGTACAGATTTAGACCCTTGACTAACCTAAACACAAAGTAGCGATGAGCCGATTAATCTCATTCATTTGGAGTCAATAAAAGCCCCTGCTTTGGAGAGTGAACCCTACCCCAAGTTTTGCACGTGTGCAGATCACTAGTAACTGGGGAGAGGGGACTTTGCTTTAACTTTTCAACCAGAGCATCAGATGCTTAGCAGGAGTCATGAGTGTTTCTTTGCTCTGGGAGAGCGAAGCCAAAGGTCTTGTGATAGTGCCACTATTTCACAAGTCATAGCTCCTCTCACAGCACTTCAGGACTTCCCCCACACCAGAGCGGCAGGTGCAGACACAGGCCAGATAAATCCATCCAAAATGCAGTTTAGAGTTTCTTATTATTTTATCCGAGCCAAGCTCCCCCTCCCCTATCTGGGCCATTGATCCCCCTCCAAAGGTTATTCACCTCTGGATGCACATAGGGTGAACTGCACACCCAAGAATGCCCTGAGGGTCCCCGTCCCACAAGATCCTGCTCTCCCGCAACGCCAGAGCCACCGAGAGAGAGGCATTAGCCCCAGCGAGCGCGCACACCGCCAGACCCACCAGGACCGCAGCACCAGGCTTGCCTGGCCTCTAACAGTGGCGTGAACAGAAAGGTTAAGAACGGACAGGTTCCTTGTTCGCTAGCCTGGGGTTAGCGCAGCTCAGGCCGGACACCAGCGAGGCTAAGGGAAGGCGCAGACGAGGATCCGCTGCCAAGTGGCTGCATCCCTCGCGCCCCCGCGCCCACAGGAGACCCGGGGGTTGCAGGCGCAGTGTAAGGGCGCGCGGGGCAGGGCCGCCAGCGGGCCCCGGGTCCGGGAACCAGCCAGGTGCAGCTGAGTTCGGTCATCAGCGGCAATTGGCTCCGTGAGACGAGTCACCTGAGGCGGCAAGTCCGCGTCTGCCCGGGCCCCGGCTGGACGGGACACGCCGGGGAAAGTTTGGCAGACGGGCTGGGCCGAACCCGGCCGGGAAGGGCGTTGGGCTGAACGCAAGACCCCCGCCTAGTGAGCGCCCCACCGGCAGCGCTTCGCTCGGGGCCAGCGGCGGGGAGCGAGCGTGGCCGGGGCCGAGCAGGGAAGGAGCCTGGCGGGAGGCACCTGCGCGCGGGGCAAAGCCGGGCCGAGCTCTCACCTGGCGGGAATCTGCGAGGGCCGGCGGCGGCGAGGCTCCCTCCGCCCTAGGGCCCGCGCCTGCAGGGGGAGCCGCGGCGAGTGTCCCTGCGGGGCGGAGAACGCAGGTAGCCGGCTCTGGTCCCAGGGGAACTCCCGCTGCCAATGCAACAGGCTGCTGCTGCCGGCCGGCGCCTGGGGGAAAGAGCCCGGGGCCGACCTTCAGGCGCCCGCCCGCCCGCTTTGCAGGTGAGCCTCTCAGCCGCTCCTTAACAGGCCATTCGGGCAACGTCCGTTAGAGAAGCCACCTGTACCTCACCATCCCTCCGGGGCGGCCGAGACCGGCTGCGTGGCGGATGCGTTTCAAGGGACACTTGGTTTGGCCCGCCCGCCTCGCTTTCTCCAGCCTGCCCGGCCGCGTACCTAGTGTGTGAGCAGGAGGCAGGTGGAGGTGAGCCCATTGGCGCTCCCCCACGGCGGGGAAGCTCATTGGCTGCTGCGGAGCCCGGCCCGGCGGGGTGGAACAGCAGCAGGGCCGCTCTGGAGGGGGAGGGAGAGGCTGTGGCTCGCGGGCTGCCTCCAGAGACCAGCCTGCGCCTGTCGCCGGCACAGCGCAGCCCTGGGCGCCGGGCCTCGGGGTTTGTTTGCGCTGAGAGCAGGGCCCCAGTTCTAAGCACGGTGCAAACACGTGGGGAGAGACCGCTCCTGCCCACAGAGCTCCTGCCACGGCTGTGACGGGGGGAGGGAATGTGGCGGCCAAGGGTGACATCAGCCCGAGGCAGAACTGGAGCCGCTAGGCAGTGCAGCCCAGCAGAGGCCCTGGTTTCACAGCTACAGGGCGCATCACGCCAGTCGCAGGGAAGAATTGTCTCTTCCTTTTGTTTTAAAAGTAGAATCCTTCCCCCCCCCCTCAAATGTTTAATGAAAATGTTCTTGATGATTACCATGTATAGTACAGTGGCTCCATTCAAGCCCCGCTGTGCCTTAACCATTATAATCAGTGTTTCCCCCAGGAATAGAAATTAGGGGGGGTGTTTGAATTTACAGGAGGGGTTAGGCCCAATGAGGGGTGAGACCGTGAGGGTGAAGGTGGGCTGTATGGCACCATAGTAAAAACTGAAAAATGTTTCACTACCATTTGATCAGATTTAACCCATGTTTTAAAATCATCACACAAATTGAAGTTGGCTACTCAAGCCTTCTATGAAGTACTGCATCTACATCCTGCTTGGTTTCTTGTTATAATTTTGCACAACTCTGTTAATGAACTTCTTGAATGCAGTGCATTCATCTTTGGTGGCTTCTCATGTGTCTGGTACTTCCATTCCTTCAATTGATAGGCTCATTAGTTCATTCACATGATCAGGCAGAAGGCGACTTCTTTCAGAACACAAAATTCTATTAAATGATGAAAAAGAACGCTCAGCTGTAGCTGTTGTGACCGGGAGTAGCAAGAGATGAATTCCTACTTCTGTCATCCCAGGAAACCTAGCATAAAGATCGTGTTGAGCCACTAGTGATGATAAAAAAGAAGTTGAAGTCAAATCTTCATTCATTCATGGTATGATATTCTACTCTGTGTTCAAATTCTCTATTCTGTCCTGAACACATGGCAGTCCCATTGCTCTATTATGGTGTCTTTGAAAAGTGTCCATGCAGCTTGCAGGGATTTCACTCTAGTCACTGTACCTTTTAATTTCTGTTTAACTAACCTCTTCATTTTTGCATAGTTCCCCTTTCTGAAATTAAATGCCACAGTGTTGGGCTGCTGAGGTGTTCTTCCCACCATAGGAATGTTAAATGTTATTATATTAGGATCACTATTTCTAAGCGGTCCTGTTATAGTTACCTGTTGGACCACGTCCTGCACTCCACTCAGAACTGAATCGAGAATTGCCTCTCCCCTTGTGGGTTCCTGTATCAGCTGCTCCAAGAAGCAGTCATTTAAAGTATAGAGAAATTTTGTCTCTGCATTTGGTCCTGAGGGGACATGTTCCCAGTCAAAATGGGGATAATTGAAATCACCCACTATTATTGAGTTCTTTATTTTGATAGCCTCTTTAATCTCCCTTAGCATTTCATAGTCACTATCACTGTCCTGGTCAGGTGGTCGATCCCTACTGTTATATTCTTATTAGAGCATGGAACTACTATCCATAGAGATTCTATGGAACATGTGGATTAAGATTTTTTTACTTCATTTGATTCTACATTTTCTTTCACATATAGTGCCACTCTCTCCCCCCATCCCCCTGTTCTGTCCTTCTGATATATGTTGTACCCCGGAATGATTGTGTCCCATTGATTGTCCTCACTCCACCAGGTTTCTGTGATGCCTTTAATATGAGGCACTCTAGTTATTTAGACTTCTAGCATTTGTGTACAATCACTTTAAAAAACTTGTCACTGTTGATTTGTCTGCCCTTTTCTGATGCATCAGATTCTTTTTTATGTGAATGTTTCTCATCTGATCTGGCCCATACTTTCTTATCCATCCTCTCCTCCTGATTAAACCTAGAGAATCTCTATCAATAGACTCTCCTCTAAGAGAAGTCTCTGTCCGATCCCTGTGCTTCTCTACAGCAATTGGCTTTCCCCATCTCTTAGTTTAAAAACTGCTCTGCAATCTTTTTAATGTTAAGTGCCAGCAGTCTGGATCCACTTTGGTTTAGCTGGAGCCCATCCTTCCTGTATAGGCTCCCCCTATCCCAAAAGTTTCCCCCGTTCCTAATAAATCTAACCCCCTCCTCCCTACACCATTGTCTCATCCATGCATCAAGTCTCTGAAGTTCTGCCTGACTACCTGGCCCTGCCTGTGGAACTGGAAGCGGTTTCTGAGGGCCAAGAGCTCCTTGCACCGAATGCACACATACGCCACACGCCCACAGGGAGGTAATCATACATGCTACACTGAGTGCAATAAAGAGGATAGCCCCCACTTTGCTGCTGGGCTTCTGCCTGCATTCTCTCCTACAGCTACCTAGGTTAATGATAGGGTTTTTGTTTAAATCAAGGAGTTTTGATTATAGTTTAGTTTTAAAGGTTTTAAAGAATGGTAAGTGTATCTTACCCCCTTCCCACTCCCCTTCCCAACTCCCTTTTAGCAGCCCCTGTTCGCAAAGCTGGCTATCTTCCTTGTCATCCTTTGGTTCTCCCCACCTCTAACAATCCTGAGACATCTCCAGTGGGACTCATTAGGCCCTGATCCTTCCAACACTTACAGTAATAAAGTTAAGCATGTGTGTGAGTAGTCCCAATGTTTAAGGTACATGCCTAATTGTTGGAAGGATCAGGGTCTAGGTAGGGTGGGAAAGTACAGTAGTGTGAACTCAAGCAGCATTTTTAGGATTCAAAATGGTGACTTGTTGGTTGGAGGAATATGCCATGTAGCACGTGTCCTTTGATTCTTCCCCACTCAGGCTGTCCACATCCCTCATTGTCCCATGGAATATGGATTATGTGGATGAGTTTGTGATTGCTGCATGGTGGCATGGAATACTACCTTGCAGCCCAATTCTCTACTGCATAGTCTCCCCATATGGTTTTATGCTTGATTAAGGCTCATTTGCTCCCCTCAATGCCCATCAGGATAAGCTATGTGGGCATTAATAAGTATGTATTAATGGGGGAGAGAGGCACAATGGGCAGACTCCAAGTATGTATATATAATCCTTTATAAAATGCTCCCTACAAGACAGACTCTCCCCTTAAGTAACCTGAGAGAAAAGATGCGTGTTGCACTGGATCCTAGCAATCAACTAACCTGTTTTAGTGTTTGTAGGATCATGGCTTTGAGCTCTATCAGACCAATTTCAGGCTCAAGGGCCTTCCAATGAGAATATCCTACTCCCAATCCCCAGGCATTCATATAGATAACCTGACCATTGTATTATATTAATATAATCGACCATTAATAATGGTTTCCATATCTTTCTCAGAGAAATTATAATATGCTACTTTTCTTATTATTTTATTATTATGGGCCTGAATTGTTAAATTCAGATAAAGATTCAAACTTCTCCAAAATTCAGTTATTCATATCGGGGGGTTTGATTCAGGTCTGTTTCTAAAATTATCTAGTGAAAGATCTGTCCATTCTTGAGAAAGACACAGCCTGTCTGAAATTTTCTATGAAGTTTTAAGGCACACACCTTTCTCTAATAGGGAGCGGGGAAGGAAGTGAACTCTGTGTGAATGTGTGTGTTGCATGCCTGGCCAAAGGAACACTAAAACTTGTTCTGTATTTGAAAGTCATCAGTGCATATCAGAGTCACAAAATACTGACTGACACAAGATTGTTATGAAGGTTAGTGTTTACATAGAAACAGCTTCTCTGGAAGTGAAAACTTTACATGCTGCTGTTACTCTCCTCTTTCAGAATGCTGACTCATGCATTTGCTGATTGCATGGTCAGAGAGCATTTTCTCTTTGCAGTTAGTCAGCATGCTTCTGCATACCGTTGTGGAGTTCATATAAGAGAAATAGGAAAGTAACTGATGCCTTAATTCATTTAGTGTATGTTAGCTAGATGCTACAGTAATGAAACTAGATACTTTACTGGATACAAAAAAGGGTAATTCCTGTCCCTTCTTTGTGGGCATGTAGGACCAAAAACCAGTCTTCTGTTGTCTGAGAGCTTGGGGGACTGCCTCAGCAGTGGGCTGCAACCCATATGTTCTACGGAACAAAACTCTAAAGGGGCTCCTGTATGTTTCAGCATGGCGCTTAAGAATGGCTGGTGGATCAAGAGCTATGGCCGTTTCCTCCATATAGAGTTGAGGATGCAACAGCTGCTGGGACCTATTGTTACCCCTAGGATTCAGTAGTAGCTGTGGTGAGGCTCTGTGGGCTGGGAGTATTCCTTCTCCCCTGTGCACACTCCTAGTTACATGGGCTGTGGGCAACGTTGAGAATTTGGCCCAGAGGAAGCAGAGTGGCTCAGATATTCTGGTGGTAGGGGGCTATACATGTTATAGCAGATTGGACATACCACCTACCATCTTCTGATTTGCCCATTGTCTGATGAGTTGCAGTTACTTCCTCACCAGACTCGCACATACAATTGTGGTGTGACCCATTGTAGCAAACGTGGCGTGTCACTGATCCTAGCAGGACAAGGGATTTAAAAGAAAGATTTGTGGTCATATTTCTCTTTGTAATCAGTGTGTCACAGGGTCATTTATCTTTCCAGCTATGCCTTAGATTCCACCCTGGTCTGTAGTCTTCCTCTGCTGATGGGATAGGTTAGCCACTGAAAACAGGGAGAAACTGAATGCAGAGCCAAGCCAATGAGCTCTGCTCTGCCCTCTGTTACACCTTTTTGCAGCTTGAACGGAGTTAGGAACATAGGGAAGGGACCTTCTGGGTCACTGAGTCTAGTCCCCTGCTAATGCAGGCAACCGCATCATATAATTCCGTTAATAAATTTATTTAGTTCCATCTTAAAACTAGCTCAGTTGTTTACACTGGCAGAGAACTGGGCCCTGTATCTTTTGTGAATACTATTTACTACTAAGTAGCTTCATTTTTAGTTCTTCATACAATTGCCTCCACAGTTTCCCTCTCTTGGAACTAGCTGGCAGTGAGCCTCATAAGAGCAGGGTTAAAGAGTAGGATTCAACACTGTTCTACTGGACCCATAGCAGGTACTAACCACCACCAAGAAACAGAAGGGAAAAAAATGAAATGTTTCTCTGCTGATGTAAGTAGGTCCAATATGCATTAGTATTATTGTAGGGAGTCACATGACTGCTGCCCCGTCTGCTAACACACAGGAAAGACACTTGAGGCTGGTGAGTGGTGTAGGCTGCAGGCGGAGTAGCAGCAATCATATACAAGTAGAAGCCACAAGGGCATCTGAATGGCAGAAACCTGAGAGTGGTAGTGCCTGCAGTACTGGTGAATGTGCAGTGAGCTGATAGAGCACTCTGAACTAAAGGAGAAGGAGGTAGAACAACAGTTTTCTTCAGTGACATGTGCAAGGTCACACCCAGTGGTTTAAAAAAAAGTGGATAAACTAATCTAAATTGAGTCCCTACTCCTGCAGTGAGAAGCAGGTCCTCTTCCTTTACCCATGTTTACCCTCAACTATGGTACTGTTCTCACCTCCGGAACACCTGCCGATGAAACGGACTCTTATTAGAGCAGAGGCTTTGCCTGCTTCTGGTGTCCCCTGAAGGGAGATGGTCCACCAGTGAAGTGATGCATGCCACAGGGGAATCTTCTGGGACACCTTGCAAACTGCTCTCACCACTCTTTAGCAGTGCCTGGTGAGGGAGCCATCACAGCATCAGGCTCTGCTGTATTCTGTGAGAGGAGACCAAGAGACTTGGTATAATCCAGTCAGAACCAGCTCACTCTCCACATTGGCGCATACTCTTGCTTTCCGGAAGTTTGTTTGCCAGGCTCTGTTCTTTGGCAGACATTCTGTTTCACAGGAGCAGGCTCTGCTTGTTTTTCATTTGCTTCAATTAGAACTCTCACCAGGGAGATGGCAGGAGGGGGGCTGGAGTTTCACATTCCATAGGTGATGCTACCTGTCATCCAGCTGAGGCAGAGACCAACCATCAATTCCAGATTAGCATTAGGAGTGTGTAGAAGAATAATTGCACTCCCCTCTCCCTCTGGTTCCACCTCCCTCTCTTTTAAAGTAACATCCATAGTATAAATTAGAGGCCTTCTCCACCCAAAGCTGCTTTTAAATGGATATTTCTAAAGGCACTACCTTCTACAATAGTTTGACACCCAGTACAGGAGGTATATCAAAGGCACCAATTCACACTACGTAGGGAGAGGTGAAGCAGTCAAAGGTAGGATTGCAGACCTTCGCTCATCTTTCCTCCAATTCAAAAGTATCAGTAAAACAGAGCGCTCTCTTAAACAACAAAATCCCGACTGAAAAGAAATGAAGGAAAATTGTCATGTTCAAACTCTTGCATGCAAGTGAGTAGAGTAAAAAATTGCTTTGGTGTCACGGAATAGGCATTGTGTGTATAGTTGATTGGGATATATTGGTTCTCTGCTTACTTGACCTTCTAAGAATAGAAATTTGGTGGCACAGCTCAGAAGGGAAGCTGCAGAAGTATGAGCATCCCACTACCAGTTCAAAACTATTGACAGTAAAACTAGTTTTGAGTTTTACCAATAATGAACTTTTCAGCAATGATGGGAGGACTGACAGAAACTGAGTTTGGTTTGTTTCCCAGGTTACTATATGGTCAAAACAACAGACGCCAGAACTCTTAACACATTTAATGGGATTTTCCTTCCATTTACACTATCATAAATTACAAAGCATATTTTACTTCACAAAATAAAGCCATTTCCAGATCATTTTTATGACAATATTTAGTACAGAACCTACAACAAATAAACCTGTACAATTTAGGCGAATCTATAGTAGTATCAGCAAATCAGAACTATTTAGCATCTGCTGTGCAATCTGGGTTAATCTACCTAGGCCTTGAAAATGTCTCTAAAGAACAACAAATTTACAGTATTCCTTCCCCCCTTAATTATCATAATTACACTCATTTTTCAATTTGAATAGAAAGCTATGCCCCTGAAATAATTCAGAAAACTATCACAGAGTTACCAAGCATGTGATCCATACAATCACAAAGAGAGTTTATAGCTTTTCATACAGAAAATTCAGTTTGGTAGTAAAGTATGCTGCCTATCTATGTTTTTAGAAAAATCTCATGCTGAGAAATATTTTAACATTAGAAATATGTTTCAGTTAGATTACGAACCGTGTAGGTCAATATTTGTGAGAGGAGGAAAATAAAAAATTTGGTAATAAATTTAAATGTACCAACTCCCATACTTCTTACACATTCTTGTTTTTAAAAACAAACCATCAGAAAACACATTCAAGAGAAATACTCACATTTTCAGCAGATTTACTGTACATTTATAAATACAGAAACATGACAAATTGCCTTTTACAAAAAAAATCATAATTAAGTAAAACAAAAGTGCTAACTTTTCAACAGGGCCAGAAAATATCCAGTGTCCCAGCATCACTTAACTTACACATTACTGTACTCCAAGAAACATCTGGCATGTGAAACTGATACTACCACCAGACTTTTGAAAACCTTCAACACCACATTTTGGATGGGAAAAAATAAAATAAGACTATACTTGTTAGAAAATACCAAATGACTAAAAATGTACTATACAATCTTAGAATGCCTAAAATATAAACAAAAACCTAAAGAAAGTTAGAATACACATTTTAAAAAAAGAAGTCTCTTTCTTTTAAAACATTTGCAATAAAAGAGGTATGTCAGGATAATACTGCACTAGTGGTAAATGATTTCAGTATATCATAACAAAAATGCAGGAGAGGATATATGGAAAAAATGCATCACATTGAATTATTGTTTGCTAAAATAAAATGCCATTCTAGCAGCTAATTAAAGTAAAATATCTTGATAATATAGGTTCTGTTTCACAATTGACACACACAATTATGTCTTACAGAGTGGGGAAATGTATAGCTGTATACAAGTAACACTGATTAAGTACCTTTTTGCTTCTTTAGCCATATTAAAATATGTTTTGTGTTCCTTAAGTTAGTAAAAGTGTTTGCAGCTTCTCAAAACAAATATACATATGAGGCAAGGCAAAAGATACAAGGTAAAGGATTTTTTCTGACTTTTTTTTTCCCTAAAAAAGAGGCATATGTCTATAAGACATAGGCTTTATTAAACATTTTGGCATTCATCTGCAATATCGCAGAAAGTGAAGTGCAGCCCAGGAACTTTCTCTTCTTCTTCTTTTTTTTTTTAAACTATAAAGAAATGTTGATTTTCCTTTAAACTAATAATTTCAAAGCAGGTGGCTATGAAGTTACTTCTTCATTGTTTAGAACAAAACATCTTCATTTTCTATTAAAATTTGCACAATAAGCTTCTGGTACCGCATGTCATTCAGGGTAGTAAGAGTACTGTCCTCTGGAGGTCTCATTAAAGTAGGTCCAAACACTATTCCCAGGTTTTCAGAATTCATAAAATTCTCCTTTTCATTCAAGGTAACCCTAAAGTAGGAAAAAATAAAATAAGTAAGTAGCAATTTCTTTACTAGAAAAATCTAATATATAGTAGCGTTATGTTATGAGACTGTTTTGCTTCAAGCATTGTTAGATAATGATGTTGTTGCAGCATACAATCTTGGTTACACTTTAGTGACTGTAATCTCACTGTAGTCACACAGCAATTACAGTGCAATTTCACCGTTGTTTTGCTTATGGAAAACTTTTAAATGCTACTTATTCATATAAATGGAAAATTCACCACAAAACTGATAACTGCAGTATAAATATAATATAGTTACCATATGTGGAGTCTTAAAATATATATTAGGAATGACACTGAAGTGATTCAGTCATGTGGTTAAACTTCCAGTTAGAAAGAATTAGTAGTAATTATTTTATCAAAAAGAATAATCACAGGATAATTACACTGTAAACAACGGTTATTTACCCTCCAGTAACTGTGGTCCTTTGAGATGATGTAATCAGTGTGGATCCCATCGTCGGTGCGCATGTACCTAGGCACGTGAGACTGGAATTTCTTTGAATAGCAGTGTCTGTCAGGGCCATACATGAGCCCTGTGCCACCTTGTACTCGTTCCTCAAGGACATAAAGGGTGTGGCAGCTGCAATCCTCGCCTCAATTCCCTTGCAATTCAAAACCCGTTACCCTAGGACTTCAAAAGTGCTGTTGGAGATGTGTCGTTGGATCAACACACTCTACAACATCTAGAACAAACACAGTTACTGGAGGGTAAGTAACCGTTCTTTCTTCAAGTATGTGTCAGTGTGGATCCCACTGTAGGTGACTGGCAAGGAGTGTCTTCTCAGAACGTCTGAAGTGAGGAGTTCCAGCCATATCAGTCACACAATGATTGTAGCACTGCTCTCCTGAACATGGTGTCTGCCCTGACTGCCATGTCAAGGGTATAATGCTTAACAGCCTGTGCCATGATAGAGTGCACCTCGATGTTCAGAAGGAGAGACTTTCCAGCCAGCTGATAGCAGGTGGAAATGAACTGTTAAATGGACCTTGAGAGAACCAAATGCTAGTCCAGCCTGTTTTAGGAGCTGCATATAATTGAGGATTTTCAGTATTGGTGCCTCTACAGGGTCCATATTGTTCCAGACCGTCTTTTCTGTTTGGAGGAGTAAGTCTTCCTGGTGCTGAATTCCTGCTTTGGATGAGAATTTGGATGAACCTGTAAGGGACAGTCTCTGTGGCTTTTGAATCTTTTAGCAAGTGCAGAGCTGCACCATCTACTCAGGACACTTCCTACACTAACACAGGAACAAATCAACATACCCTTAGAGCCCCGACTGGGGTAGTAGATAGAATAACCCAAGATCCACAAACCTGGAAATCCTGGACGCCCCATCATCTCGGGCATTGGCACCCTCACGGAAGGACTGTTTGGATATGTGGACTCCCTACTCAGACCCTACGCCACCAGCACTCCCAGCTATCTCCGTGACACCACTGATTTCCTGAGAAAACTACAATGCATTGGTGACCTTCCAGAAAACACCATCCTAGCCACCATGGATGTAGAGGCTCTCTACACGAACATCCCACACACAGATGGAATACTAGCTGTCAGGAACATTATACCTGCTGATGCCACAGTGCAACTGGTTGCTGAGCTCTGTGACTTTATCCTCACACACAACTATTTCAAATTTGATGACCATATATACCTCCAGACCAGTGGCACCGCTATGGGCACCCGCATGGCCCCACAATATGCCAACATTTTAATGTCTGACCTGGAACAACGCTTCCTCAGCTCTCGTCCACTCATACCCCTTCTCTACCTACGCTACATTGATGACATCTTCATCATCTGGACCCATGGGAAGGAGACTCTGGAAAAATTTCACCACGATTTCAACGGCTTCCACCCCACCATCAACCTCAGCCTGAACCAATCTACATGGGAGGTCCACTTCCTAGATACCACGGTGCAAATAAGTGATGGTCACGTTAACACCACCCTATACCGAAAACCCACCGACCACTATGCCTACCTTCATGCCTCCAGCTTCCATCCCGGACACACCACATGATCCATTGTCTACAGCCAAGCACTGAGATACAACCGTATCTGCTCCAACCCCTCAGACAGAGACCAACACCTACAAACACTCACCAAGCATTCTCGATACACGCATGAGGAAATAAGGAAACAGATCAACAGAGCCAGACATGTACCCAGAAATCTCCTACTGCAAGACAAGCCCAAGAAAGAAACCAATAGAACTCCATTGGCCATCACATACAGTCCCCAGCTAAAACCTCTCCAATGTATCATCAGTGATCTACAACCCATCCTGGACAACGATCCCTCACTTCACAGGCCTTGGGTGGCAGGCCAGTCCTCACCCACAGACAGCCCACCAACCTGAAGCATATTCTCACCCTGGAGCAGTCCTCCGTTTATGAGAGACAATCCTGGCTGGACCAGAAGCTGACACTATATCAAATAGCTTGTGGGATTTCTCTGATTATAATTCCCATCTCCATCGTCAGAGTTTCAACAGTCTTCACATGGAAATTTTGGAGTGTTTATAGTCATGAGGTCCTGGTACCAGTGCTGAGGATACTGCTTTGTCAGGAGATGAAGATGAGGGCCTTTGGTGGTGATACAGGGAACTGGTGTTGCTCTGTCTCTGGATCTGGTTCCTCTTGGTACTCCAGTGTAGGTGGTCTGGCCAGAGATGCTGATGGGGAGAGTGACCTCTTCCATGAGTGTAGTGGAGACTGGCTTTTTGATGCACGAGATGGTGGACCCCAGTAACACCAGTAGGACCATGGTGACTGATAGTGGCAGGGTCCTGCATAGGAAGCCAGCAAACTATTCTGTGGTGTTGACCGCTGATCTCAGAAGAGAAGGCTTACTACTTGAAGAGGGGGAGAACGTATGCCCTGGTGACAGTGAGGAGGGGTAGATCTCCTCCAGAGACAGCATCAAAGTGTATGGCACTCCCACTACCAGGGTCTGTATTGGTACCTACAGGTGCTTCAGCACTGATGGCTGTTCCAGTTCTCCCTTGAGCTCATTCTCTGTGTTTGGCTTTGATGCTGAGGGTTGCATCACTGGAGCCCCGATTGGTGCCAGCGGGGTCTTTGGCACTGGAGGCAGCTCATTCTCCCCGACCCTTGAACTGTGCTGGTCTTGATGGATTTATCTCTAGAGGCTTCGTGCTGTCTGTCCTTATGGGAGGATGCTAAGCTCCAGCTGGAGTCTTTGCCTCTGTGTTTCAAGAAGCCCCTCTACATGCTGGACTTCAACACTGGAGGTCTTAGTGCCCATTTTGATGCTGTTGATATTGAGGTCAGCTTCGGTGCTGGGGTGTCAGTGCTGTTTTCTCTGTGCTAGCAGACAAGTTACCTTGAAGACTAAATGGGGCACTGGATGATGCTGGTTTGTCTACTAGCAGGATTTTAGAGCTCGTCTCCTCAGGGTTGGAGGAGACCTTCATGGATTGTTCCAGAAGATGGAGCTTCAGCCTCATGTCTCACATGTCCTAGCAGAGAATGACATGCACACTGAGCATCTGCTGAGAATGTGAGACTTTCCTAGACAGCTGAGGAACTTTCTGTGGCCATCTTTTAAGAGAATTAGGCCATCATAGGATGGACAGTATGTGAAGCCCACAGGTTTTGAGTCCACCATGCTAAGGACCCCTCTACAGGGGGATTTGTACAGGGGTTTAGCTGTCAGTCAGTACCAAGTCCAGATGGGTCGAAGTGATCACAGCAGTCAAAAATCAAGGTCATCAGAAGAGTTCTAAAGAGGATTTTTAGAAGGCTTAGTCAAAAATAAAAATTAGTGGGTCGGATACTTGCCAGGTTCCATCTGACTCCCATTGGTGGAAAGAGGAAAATGAGGGAGTTTACCCTTAATGCACTTATGGAAGCCCAAGGAGACCCTGTGTGGCCCTGATGGACACAACTATTTAGAGAAATTCCAGTCTTGCATGGATCCCCTACAATGAGGTCCACCCTGACACATACACAAAGAACAGTTGTTAACTACATCTGTAACTACAGTTGTATTACAAAGTATAACCTAATTATTTATTATGTCTCACGTAGGAAAATTATTGTATTTTGTTCTTTTGTGACTGTGTGTGGTCATTACAAAACTAAATTAACATTTCTAACATATATTGAGATTTGCTGATGGAAGGCACTATGCTGTGTAAGTGCAAAGTTACTCTTCTTGCTTGTTTATTCTCATCTTATTTGTAGCAGTGTAGTTTTAACCTTTGGGCTGGAGGCTTATAATTGCTTTCTATTATATCTCTGTGTCAAAGTAGAAAGATGTAAGCTGTTCAAGGGTTATGCTGCATGCAAACTGACTTACTTTTTGAGATGAATCATTAGATATCTAAGTGTCTCATAGTGCGCAGCAGGAAGTAGCATCAATACTTCATGGACAGCTTCTAATCGTTCATCAGGATTGGAGATTTCTGTAAAACACAAAACCGAATTAACATCAGTAGTTTTACACACATATAAATAGGCAAGAAGCTACAATAATGTTACAGAACCATTTATAAGGACAGATGGTATAGTCCAGTTCTTGAATGTGCAGCTGGGGATAAATATTACATTTATATATGGAGCGTTTTTGCAAGGATGCCAAGATAGCTAATAAAATGGTTTTAACCTGTCAAGCAATCAACAACTGAGACTTTGTGTAATTACTTTCATGCCTGCATGTCTGCCTACAGCACCTGAGCCTTCTTTTATAGTATTTTTAATATTCTGACTTGCATCTACCCTTCATCTAGACTCTGATTTTATGTGATATCTGGACTATCCGTCAAAGAAAGATGGGTGTCATGAAACAAGATAACACAACAGATTCAGGTTCAGGTGAAGCAGTATCAGGCTTTATTCCAAGAACACAGCACTACACCTAGCAGGTGAGGAGCCAGGCAGCCGTTGCACTGAGCAGATGCTGATCAGAGTTCTTATATAGGCAGCATGGGTGGCCTCTGGTACGCAATGACCAACGGGGGGTAAGCTATACTAATTCACATCCAAGTCCAGCACAGGCGGCATGAGTTCCTTGCAATGGAAATTTAAGTTAAATATATCCTTTGAGGCAGCGGTCAAATATATTGGACTGTACTAAAAATTTGCTAATGAAACTAAAATCAAACATCACCACAAAATCATGTATTGTACTGTAGATAATGTGATGTGGGAATTGTGATGGTAATTTAAAATATTATTTGGCAATGTCCAACTATCTAGTCAGGAATTATATAAGAAGAATATGGCATTATATGTTCCAAGACAAGTCAAAGTTATATTTGCTACATAATTTTTCATCAAAATGTAGGAGCGCAAACCGATTGAACCTCAGAAGGCCAAAAATCTTTGTCATGCTTTTTAAAAGATTAGTAAACTGATGCTAGTAAGTTGATCTGAGCATGTTATTTAGAAGATTAATGCCAAGCTTGAAGAATTTCATGTGATGAGGGAAGAAAGAGAGAGGAGCGTAAGTGAGAGGCCTGTGATGATATTAAGACTGTATGGCGAGGAGGAAGGGAAAGGACAATAGTTAAGAACATTATGCTTATTGCTTATCCATGCTTCAAAAAGGCATCCTTTAAAAAGTGGAAGTTAAATCCTACCGAGGAAAATAGAAAGGAGCATAAACTCTGGCAAGTAAAGTGTAAAAATATAATTAGAAAGGTCAAAAACGAATTTAAAGAATAGCCAAGGACTCAAAAAGTAATAGCAAAAAAAGTACATCAGAAGCAGGAAGCCTGCTAAACAACCAGTGGGGCCACTGGATGATTGAGATGCTAAAGGAACACTCAAGGACGATAAGGCCATTGCAGAGAAACTAAATGAATTCTTTGCATCAGTCTTCATGGCTGAGGATGTGATGGAGATTCCCAAATCTGATCCAATCTTTTTTAGGTGACAAATTTTGAGGCACTGTCCTAGATTGAGGTGTCATTAGAGGTGGTTTTGGAACAAATCGATAAACTAAACAGTAATAAGACACCAGGACCAGATGGTATTCACCCAGGCATAGGTGCCAACTTTCTAGTATACCAGTCTTGGCCCAGGCCACACCCCACTCTACCCTTTCCCCCAAGATTGCACCCCAACCCTGCCTCTTCCCACCCTGTTCCACCCCCTCCCCTGAGTGGGCTGCACCCTCGCTTCTCTCCCCTCCCCCCTCCCCCCCCACGCGCCTCCTGAATGCTGTGGAGCAGCTGATCCATGGCAGGTGGGAGGGACTGGGAGGGGCTGATCGGTGGGGCCGCCGGCGATCTGGAGGCGGTAGGGGAAGGGGATATGGGGGCTGCCGGTGGGTGTTGAGCACCCATGGAGTCAGTGCCTATGCACCCAAGAGTTCTGAAGGAACTCAAATGTGAAATTGCAGATCTACTAACAGTGGTATGTAACCTATCATTTAAATCAGCTTTTGTACCAGAGGACTGGAGGATAGTTAATGTGGCACCAATTTTTTAAAAAGGCTCCAGAGGTGACCCCAGCAATTACAGGCCAGTAAGCCTAACTTCAGTACTGGGCAAACTGGTTGAAACTATAGTAAAGAACTGAATTATCAGACAGATAGATGAACATGATTTGTTGGGGGGAGATTCAACATGGTTTTTGTACAGGGAAATCATGCCTCACCTATCTATTAGAATTCTTTGAGGGGGTCAACAAGCATGTGGATAAGGATGATCCAGTGGGTATAGTGTACTTAGATTTTCAGAAAGACTTTGACAAGGTCCCTCAACAAAGGCTCTTAAGCAAAATAAGCTGTCATGGGATAAGAGGGAAGGTCCTTTCATGGATCAGTAACTGGTTAAAAGATAGTAAACAAAGTGTAGGAATAAATGGTCAGTTTTCAGAATGGAAAGAGGTAAATAGCGGTGTCCCCCAGGGGTCTGTACTGGGACCAGTGCTGTTCAACATATTCATAAATGATCTGGAAAAAGGGGTAAATGTGAGGTGGCAAAATTTGCAGATGATACAGAACTACTCAAGATAGTTAACTCCAAAGCAGACTGCGAAGAGTTACAAAGGGATCTCACTAAACTGGGTGACTGGGCAACAAATGTTGATAAATTCAAAGTTATGCACATTGGAAAACATAACCCCAATGTTACATACAAAATGATGAGGTCTAAATTAGCTGGTACCACTCAAGAAAGATCTTGGAGTCATTATGGATAATTCTCAGAAAATATCCACTCAATGTGCAGCAGCAGTCAAAAAAGCTAACAGAATGTTGGGAATCACTAGGAAAAGAATAGATAAGACAGAAAGTATCATATTGCCTCTATATAAATCCAGGGTATGCCCACATCTTGAATGCGGCATTCAAATGTGGTTGCCCCTTCTCAAAAAAGAAATACTGGAAGTGGAAAAAGATTCAGAAAAGGGCAACAAAAATGATTATGGGTATGAAACGGCTGCCATTTGAGGAGAGATTAATAAAACAGGGATTTTTCAGCTTGGAAAAGAGATGACTAAGGGAGGATATGATAGAGGTCTTTAAAATCATAACTTGTTTGGAGAAAGTAAATAGGGAAGTGCTATTTATTCCTTCTCATAACACAAGAACTAGGGGTCACCAAATGAAATTAATAGGCAGAAGGTTTAAAACAAACAAAAGGAAGTATTTCTTCATGTAACCCACAATCAACCTGTGGAACTCTTTGCCAGAAGATGTTGTGAAGGCCAAGACTATATCAGGGTTCAAAAAAAGAACTAGATAAATTCATGGAAGATACGTCCATCAATGGCTTTTAGCCAGGATGGGCAGGGATGGTGGCCCTAGCCTCTGTTTGCCAGAAGCTGGGAATGGGCGACAGGGGATGGATCACTTGATAATTACCTGTTCTGTACATTCTCTCTGAAGCACCTGGCATTGGCCACTGTCAGAAGACAGGATACTGGGCTAGATACTGGTCTGACCCAGTATGTCTGTCGTTATGTTCTTTGCTCTACAGTACAGTTTTAAAGTCAATGGGACTCAGTTATTTAAAAAATGCATGATTTCTTACTTGAAATCTTAAATGGATTTATTCTGGAATCTTTTCAGAGTTGTGCAATTCCATTTCAGCAAGTTTTTATAATGGAATGTCATCATGTGTAACACAGTACCATTAACAAAGAAACTTGGGGGCAAAGCCTGCTTCTTCCTCTGCCAGATTTGCTTTGGAGCCAGTGCTGTTCTGTTGCATAAGAGGAGCAGAGAACATGAGAACTAATACAGGGGATGTGCATCCACTGCTTCCCATAAAGCCCAGCTTCATAGGGGCTCACTGCATGCTCCCTCACAATGGCAATTTGGGCCTGGGGTATGAAAAGCAGGACCTGGTGGATTCATTGACTATTCTAGTCTTGGGTGTGTAAAGGAACAAGCATAATAGCAGCTATTCTGCCCTGTGAATAGAATAGCAGCTGAGGAACGGCTCCATTACTACTCTGTAGCTCATAGAATAGAGAAAAGATGCTTCCTTTCCTGTCCCTAGGGATCTCCCAATGCCTTAAAGCAGGTTTAATCCCTAAAGGTTTAATTCCTTAAAGCAGAACTGTATTTTTTAAGACCACTGCATAAACAGCTCCCATTACAGCAAACAGATTGGCTCAGATCCGCAGCTGGTGTAAGGTGTAGCTCCCTTGACTCCAGAGAAGCTACCCTGATTTACACAGCCATACATAGCTGCAGGGGAACAGCTCTATATCAACACTGATATAAACATTCCATTTAAATGAGGAAAATGATGAAAGAGCAATGAACAAAGCAATATATTTGCTTCCACTTTGTTAGAAAGGCTTGAATTTTTTTTATAAAAAACATTTTTAGGAGAAAATGTAATTAAAAATTATATGAATTGTTATGCAATTCTTACTTGCTGCCTCCATAAACTTGGAGTAGGTCTCATAGGTGATTACAGGAATCGGCAAGTCTCTGAAATATAGCTTCAGTGCTCCAGCAATAATGTTTATGTCTGGATATAAATTTGCAGAGATATCAGCCTTGTCACCATCTAGAAGAGAAGCAAGAAATCTTTTGTTAAAATAGCATAATTTTACTTCAGCAAGGCTTGGCCTCCTTAATACTGATTAAGGTTTATTTCTTCCATCCTTACAAGAAAATCTGCAGACAGCATTTGAAACAAACATAAAACCACCAATTCTCCAGTATATCAATGAATAGTATTTCCTTCACTTTTTGCAAGTCTTGATGGTTCATAGCTTCAATATAAACTGGCAAATACAACATCAAAATCTACAGCATATCATCCCATGTAGGATTTCTAATGCTGAGTGCAAACAGTCAGGATGAATAATGCAACTGCTGACTTCTGCCTGTTTGTTAAATGTTGACAATAACATTCTAATAGCTAAAAGAACAGGAGTACTTGTGGCACCTTAGAGACTAACAAATTTATTAGAGCATAAGCTTTCGTGGACTACAGCCCACTTCTTTGGATGCATACTGTAGTCCACGAAAGCTTATGCTCTAATAAATTTGTTAGTCTCTAAGGTGCCACAAGTACTCCTGTTCTTTTTGCGGATACAGACTAACACGGCTGCTACTCTGAAACCATTCTAATAGTTAGCATTTATATAGCACTTTTTACACACAGATCTCAAAGCCATTTACAAAATGGTATTGTATTTTTGAGATAATTGTATTTTACAGGTGGGGAAACCGAGGCACACAGCGGTGAAGTGACTTGCTCAAGGTTACCAAGCAGACAAATAACAGTCTGGAAAAGAACCCTGCTCTTTTGAATCCTAATCACATGATCTATTTGCTGGGGCACAATGATAAACAGATCACAGACTCTGCTTGTTGCTTTGAAATTTTCTGTTGTCTTCTAAATTTGTTTTCCTATCCAAACAGCAGGTGAACAGTTTCTGGTAAATATCTCAATTTAAATAGTCCCGCCATGGCATTTAGCTACGTAAGTCATGTGGTATTGTTTCTGTTAAATGATTACATGACTCATGTAACCAAAATTACATGAATTTTGAATTTCATATATTGCAGAGAATGATTCAAAACTCCCTTTCAATCATTTTAGCTCAACACTCAGTTGATGCTAGTAAAGCTTGACCACTGAAATGCCTGCTGAAAAGGAAAATGAACGAATTGCAAATATCGCTGAATCAAAGTTAGTTTTCAAGTTCAAATGACTATTTGCAGACATTTTTCCATTAGGCACTGACTTGACCTTTTCCAAAAGTCAGCATTTGTTATTCCCGTAAAGACCTCTTTTCCTTCCATCCCACTGAAGAGTTGGAGAAACGGACTAGTTTTTGTGCATCAGAAACACCCATTCCTTTTCTCAGAAACTGGCCACACCCGTGTCAGATTATATGGATGTGTGTGTGTGTGGCTTCCTGCGTGTGTACAACTTCCTCTCTCCACCTTTATTTTCAGTACCACAATCAGGGCCGGCTCCAGGGTTTTGGCCGCCCCAAGCAGCCAAAAAAAAAAAAAAAAGCCGTGATCGCGATCTGTGGTGGCAATTTGGCAGGAGGTCCTTTGCTCCCAGCGGGAGTGAGGGACCATCCACCGAATTGCCCCCGAATACCTGGACGTGCCACCCCTCTCTGGAGCGGCCGCCCCAAGCACCTGCTTGCCAGGCTGGTGCCTGGAGCCGGCCCTGACCACAATGTCCACATTTTTTCTTTACTTGGAGAATTGCTCAGGACTCATGGCATTCTCTCTCTGCCCTGCACCTGAAAGTGACACGCTTGCTCTCCTCTTTGTCTTTTTCAACCAGCCCCAGTGAAAGGTGAATATGCCATACCCAGTATGCCCATACACAAGAGAGAGGAAGGATAGTCCAGTGGTTAGGGTGGCAGCCTGGGACTTGGGAGGTCCAGGTTTAATTCCCTGCTCCACCCAGACTCACTGTATGACCTTGGGCAAACCACTTATTTTCTCCATGTTTCAGTACTCCATCTGTAATGACAATAGTACTTCCCTGCCTCATAGGGGTGTTGTGAGGATAAATACATGAAACACAGTGAGGAGCTCAGATACTAATAGGGACCATATAAGTACCTACAATAGATAATGTGTGTATGTCCTGTGTACTGCTCCTAAGGTGCTGGTGACAATCTTTCTTAAGAGGGAATGTACTGTAAACATGCTTCTGTTTATTTTTCACTGCAGGAGAAAACAGCTTGTGTTGATTCTAGACGTTCTGTACAAACCTATTGCATTAATCTTTAAGGAATCTGTTCTTCTGTCTAATGCATGCACATAACTCTCATTAGCACTAACAGGAGCTACATGTACTCATCAAGAGGAGATTATATGCTTTGTGTTTAAAATAAACAGCCTTTTTTGATATAGCTAGTAGTCTGAACACATACATCAGTATTTAATTTAACACTGCATCCATACCCCTAACAGAATGTTTACTCTGCCCCAATCTCTTGTTTATCCACACATACTTGGCACAGTAACATTAGTATTATAAAACATTGTTTGGACAGCTCTATTTAATTGCTGTATGCTGAATGCTAAAAATGCTACACTGAAAACAGATGCTTTCAAGAAGTCAGCAGCTGCATCAAACAGATATGGCAAATCTGAATGTTGCATCCATTACTTGTCTTTATTTAACAGCAAGGTCACTAGCATACTAAATGGAAGTGCTATTTAGTCAATGTTTTTACAGTGTAGTATAGCAAGCATCCTTAAACTGGCACTCTAGCTGCATCAAATGCCACACAAACATGCATTTTATTTATATCTTTGCTTGAAGATCACTGTAACAAAAGTGTATTAGCCCATGAATCACAAAATGAGTTGTTTCAAGAGACTGTGGCACTTCAAAAATAAACATAAGTCTATAAAAAATGCAACTGAAGAAAATTTTTGAAAGTATAAGGGAATATAAATACATTTCTGTTGTATGAAAAGTCACAAATTTAAAATCTTCTCCAACGGATACCTATTGATGTTTCTCTCCTTCCCCCCACCCCTTTAAAGCAACTCTGGCAAGCTACACTTATTTTCTATTTTCCCAGGATGACTGGATTTGTATTTAAAATTTTTAGAAATGTTCAAAGTCATTAAGGAAGAAGTGTGGAGTCAAGGACAAAATGTAAAACAGAAGAGCATCAGTGCTATTAACTTAAAGGAACCTAATTCATTTTACAATGATACCTTTTTCTTTCTGTATTACCAAAATTGTCCACAGCTCTGCAATAAGATAAATTGCCATATAGCAGCTATTAGATGTCAATACCAAAAGTTTGTGTGTACTAATCTGTAAAAAATTAATTAATTTAGCACACAGTAATATAGCACAACTTAAGTTTTTCTGTTCTTTCTTCCCATCCAACAACTCTTCTTTCCCTTGTTCCTTGCTCTTCCAAACCACCTGTTATGTCTAAATTTGGACTCTTCAAGTCAAGGACCATGTCTTTTCTTTGTTGTATAAAGGGCACAGCACATTTTAGACGGGATATAAATAATAATTTATAGGGAAAGAGATCAGAACTGGTATTATCTTCCACAAATCTAAACTATGCATATTCAGTATTGAATTACACTTACACTAAAAACACATTTTCCTTCAAAGGTCCTTGGCCCCAATGGTCTTATTGTGCCAAATCAAGTGTCATTGTGAGAATTGCCCAAGTTAAAGACTTTAGGATTTGATCCTTTGAAAAAACTGTCCAACTCCAAATCCAGTAAAACAAAGACACTTGCACACAGTTTACATGAATGCCAATAAAAGTCAGGGTGCTTTTGAATGGTCCAAGTAATATTTAACAGCATAATACTATAACAAATGTGTTGTGCCAGCCAATCAAAGAAACAATAACAAATAAAAGGACAAAAATGCATTTACTACAATGGCGTCTCTGTGGACAAATTGCACAATGAGTGTTTTCTGTGCCATCAGAATGCAGCAGGTCAACAGCAGTACAGAGAACGACTGTTGCTCTACAGCATCCACATTCATTAGATTAAATAAATCCTTATTATTCCTCTTATTCTAGTTAAAAATTGCTGAAACAGAACATTGTCACAACCTTAGTGAGCCTAATTCTCATTTACACCATTTGACTGTAAAAAGGAACTTACTGTATGTAAGAACTAGGCACATCTCCTGTTTAATATCCCAGCTTCATCAGCATTTATCAACCTGAGATAATATATCCAGAGATAACATTCTCTGCCAGTGACTTTAACTTCTAAGTTTCAATTTCCTTTCTGATTTATGTTGTAATGCTTTTGTAGGAACAAGACACTGTCCCTTTAAGAATCCTATGGCACTGGGGGTAAAATTCTGCCTTCATTGTACCCCTGCAAGTCCAGTTTAAGTCAACAGGAACTCTGCTATTCTAGGCGGAGTTTGACACATAGTGTTAATCAAGATTTTCTATAACGTTCTATTGCACTTCATTTCCTATAGCCTGACGAAGATGATGTGTGTCTTAAAAGTTTTAGTAAAATAGTTTCCTCTTAGATCATTGTTAGTACTGTGTTCCAGGTAATTAAATGCACAGATTCCATGTGTGTAAACTAACGGTGTTTTTTAAGAGAAATATTACCCGAGATGCCGCTACTGCAGCTAACATTCTAGCCATGTGCACACAGACTGACTTCCTGGTGCCTCCTCCAAACTCTTCCCTCCTGCAACTTGTGCTTCTCCCTACAAGTTCCATACAGGCTGCTACAGTCATCATGTGGAGACACAGCTCACACAGAGCAACAAGATTTGTATGTGTGGGAACAGTGGCAGCAGACAGGATGCCAGCATCCAACACAGAAACAATAAGCCATCCTCTTAATGTTTGTAAGTTATACTTTGAGCATGATCACTTCAGAATCCCTCCTTTTGTGGTTAGTTTTCCTTAGCTAGTGTAGCCTTTACAGGAATTTTCTTCCAAACAAGGAAAACTTCAGATACAAAGTATTTCTAAGATAATGTGATCTACACCATTTTAAATGTTTGTTTTTTTAAAGAAAAAAAACAGTATAAAATGCAAAACTAATATTTGAAGAAAC